TCCGGCCCCCTTCTCTGCATCTGCACGCGCTTGTCCAACCGCTTTCCCCAGCAGCCCCGCTGGAGACCCCACGCACGGCCAGCGTCTGCCAGCGCCTCCAGCGCGTGGCTGGTCACGAGCAGCTCTCCGCGGACCCTGGCGTGACAACTTTGTGGCCAAAGGTCTCTGACTCTTGCACCCGTGGCCAGTCCTGCGTCTGCCTTTCATTTCTGCCATGCACTTTCTTGGATAGCAATGTGCCGATGCAGCTGCACACACCTAGCTGGGCACGCAGGGAGGATCTCTGCACAGAGGCGGGAGGCGCGCTGCTGCTCGCGACTGTCCACTGACACTTGGGGCAGGCGCCTCCGGTAAGTTTTGTTTGCCAAACACCGCTAGTATTGCTTGCACCAAAGCCTGAGTGTAGGATGTTTTTATTGCTCTTTGTACAGTTAAAAAGAAACAAAGCAAAGAACAACAAAACATTTACACGTGGTACTTCTGTGTCGAAGGAGATGGGAAGGGGTCCATGTCCCCACTCTGCCTTTGCACCACTCTGGAGATGTCCTGGGAGCCCATGGCTTTGCGCAGTGGGAGAGCGCTGCGCTCCCGCGTTCTCCCCTGGCACAGGCTGCTGATTGGCACCCGTCTGACCCAGGGCCGGGGCATGCGTGCCAGAGCTGCACTAATGAGCTCGTCCATCAATCTACCGGCAAAGGACACAGGGCAGCCCTGGCACCTGCCTCCATGTTGTCCCCCCTGCCCTCCTGCAGGCTGGTGGGTGCCTGTGCATCCGGATGGGGCACACAGGCAGCTTGGGCACTGCATCGCCCCATGCACAAGAAGCAGCAGAGGCTGCCAGGGCGCCGTGGGATGCAGGGTACGGCCCAGCCACGCCACTAGCGAGGGCAGGAGAGCCGAGGCGGGGGGATGAAGGTGGCAAGAAGGGGCAGAGAATGGGATGTTAAGTGCCCGGTGCGCAGAAGGCCCAGCAGCGACGCTGTAGGGCTGTGCCATGGCAGGAGGAAAGGTTCTGCTGGGACGCAGCAGCGCGCTCGGACTCTCTCGCGGCTGCCTGGGCTGGAGGTGCCTCTGGGCGCTGCTCCTCCTCTCCCACTCACTGCACAGGACGCGAAGGGCCCCGTGAGCCGGGCTCTGCCGGCCGTGCCGCAGCCCTGCCAGGGAGCAGAGCACAGCGCTGCGCAGGCGGAGGGGCAGGCGGGCAGGCTAGCAGCGCTCCGGGGGACAGCAGTGCGGGGAGGGCGCTGGAGAAAGGCAAAGACAGCCAAGTACTCACCCGCAGTCCGTGTGCTCGGCTCCCAGCCCGGCTGAGCCGTCCTGCAGCGTCGCAACACTCTGGGCGCCTCCTGCTCACTACCAGCTCCTGGGCTGCCTTCCCTTTTAAAGGTCACAGCCAGAGGACCTTGCAGTAAATCTAAGGTGCTGATGGGAGGCTCTGCTCCAGTGTCACCACCTCCTCCCTCTGCCTTCCCCACTTCCGCACCACCTGGCTCCGGGCACTTTGGGAGGGCACCAGGGGACGCAGATGCGGGATGGGGTGCAGCCAGGGGGGCTGCTCCGTGGGGTCCCATGCCGGAGGCTGCAGGCCGGTGTGTGCTGACAGGCTCCACTCAGCCCTGCCCCGCTCCACATCCATGTGGAGGCAAGTGGGAGCCCGCTGCAGGGAGCAGCGGCTTAACCCCCTGTGCTCCGTAAGCAGGCTGCTCACCGGCCGTGCACCGTGGAGTTACTGTGCACCAGCTGCCGAGCACACTGGGGCCACTGCCGTTTGCAGGGCAGTCAATCCCGGGTCTGTGCCCACGCAGGGAGCAAACCCAGCAATGCTGGGAATGGACTTGGGGACATGTGGTAGCTCCTGGCCCCCCTCCCCAGCAGAGCTCTGGGGGCAGCAGGCAGCAGGCCAGCTCGATGGAGCCCTTGAGCCCTCGCTTCCCGTCACACTGGGAGGTGACACCGGCCCAGCAAAGGGTGCTTGAAATTAGACACAGTGTTTTTGTGCTGGCCTCAGCAAAAGGAGCCCTGTGGAGCTGCAGCATCCCAGCCCTGCTCCCGTCCCGGGGCCGGACATCCTGGCCGTCCTGACAAGAGTGCAGGGAAGTGGCTGTGGGACACCTCGGGACCTGGCCAGGCTGTGGAGATTGCAGCCTTTCCTGGCCCGTGGCAGCAGCAGATGTCTCCCAAGAGCAGCCTGCCGAGGAGCAGCGAGGGGCAGCGAGTGTGACAGCTCTATTAGGCTGCCGTGCCCGTGGCCTGCAGCTCCGAGTCCCAGAAGGCATGGTGCTCTATGGCATGCAATGCCAGGCTGGCAATCTGCAAGGAGCCTGGCCCCTGTGCAGGTGTTCTGCAGCCGCAAGTTTTTGAGCCTTGGTGGGGGGAATGGATGGAGAGTGCAGGTGGCACCTTGGGCACCATGAAGCCCTTGTCCCCTCTTAAGGCGGCATGGGAACTGCTGTCCCTTTGCAGTTCTCCTGGGCACACGCAGCACCTCTCCCTGCAGCCGGGCCTTGCTGCAGGAGCAGCTGGGTGTGAGCTCGCAGAGCACTTTCTGTCCACACCCGTGGCTGTGCCGTGGTGGCAGCAACGCCTCTGCAGTTACTGGCAGGGCCCCCCACAGGCCGGGCCCACCCCCCCCCACCATCGCTTCCTGGAGCTCTGCCGCTCTGATTCACCATGGCGCCTTGGACAAACTCGTCCTGATTTTTCCCCATGTTTTTGGAAGCAAACTTCTCAGCCCCCCGCGTGACCCAGGAATGAGTCTTTCACATACTGTGGCCCTGACCCGCAGCAAGTGTGGGTGTTAACGCTGCAGCTTACTAGCACTGCAGGTCCCTGTGCTCCTGCTTGCTGCATCCTGGAGGCTCCAGACTCAACCTCAGCTGCCAGTGCAGCTTCTGCACGTGGAACTGTGCCCCACTGAGCCCCAGCCCAGGCTCTTCATCCCAAGCAACCCACAAGCCAGGGCGACAGGCCACGCACACCCCTGCATGCGTCTCTGCTCAGCTGCTGCACCGAGGTGTCACCTCCAGCCCAATTAGCAGGGCTCCTGCAGATGCAGAGCTCCCCCTCCTGTCTCTGCACGTCTCCTGCCTGCTTGCAGGGCCTGCGGCTCCCCTCACCTCGCCGTAGCCATCACTCAGCCTGCCCATGAGCCACCTTTGCTGCATCAGCAGTGTGCTCGGCGCTCCTGCTGCGGTGGCTGCCAGCGCTGCCTGGCTCTCACTGCCTGTACTTTTCCTGTTTCGCTTGCCAGCTCTGCAGCTCCAGCTCCTCAGTTTGCCAGCGATGCTGGCATCCTCTCTGAGTCCCCCAGGCACCTCAGTGCCTGGCAAAGCCTGCAGCTTTTCCTCTTCCCCACTCCGTCATGCCCCTGCCCGGGTGGTGCAGAGGGAGCTGCAGAGGGGGCCGGTGCAGGGCCGGCTAAAGCTGAGGATGCCCAGGCTATGAGCGGGCGAGGCGCGGGGAGCAGCATCCCCAGCCCAGAGCACTGTGTGGGAAAGCAGCCAGGCAAGGGCAGCCCAGTCGCGCAGGCAGGGTCCTGGATGGATGGCATCCCCTCATGTGTGTGACCGCTGCAGTGGTGCTGTGCGTCCCACGGTCCCCGTGGGAGCAGGGAGGATGCTGTGCGGGTGTCCCTGTCCTGGCCGAGGCCACGCGCCGGGCTCCGCGG